ACAGCTACTTATGAGTTTGTATGTCAGATATACAGGGTGTCCCAGAAGTCGACGTCAAGCCGAACCCGGGTGATAGACAAAGTCATAACAGCTATCAGAAAAATATAAAAAAAAATTTTATGTATGTGTTTTGAAAATTATAGGTTTTTGAAAAAGATATAGAAATTTCACACCCTACGGCAGTCTGTCAACTCCTGTTACTACAAATATTAACTTTTTTTGGATTTTATTTTTACAATGTAATGATGAATAAAGCATCTTCAAACTGGTGTCTCAACCTTACTGCCAACTTTTCTCGTTCAGGAAAAATTGCCACTTATTTCCGAACAAAGTATTCCAAAGTAAAACTTTGCTCAACTTTAACTGTCTGTACTGGGAAAAATGTTTGGCAAGTAACCTTAAAAGTTGGCGCATTTAATAACGATTCCAAAATGGTATAACACTTAGAAGATTACTCGTTAACTTATGCACAATTTTTATTTGAAGAAAAACTGATGAAAATTTTTCAAAATTTCCTAATTAAACAGCGGTTATGAAAACACACAAGGACCATTAAGGATAACTGTTTGCACAACAGTGGGCGTCAAAATGTTGCTGATGATGATTTACCTTTACAGCAAATGCTCAAACTGTTTTCCTTCAGCCGCAATACACGCTCGACGTCTTCTTAAAAAAGATCAGGTTATTAAACGAGCGAATCCACGGTTATTAACAAACTCAGCTGCTTCCAATAGTCTTTGCCGTAGCTCAGCTACATTGTGAATCGGCTTGAAATACACTTTTTCTTTTACAGTTCCCCAGTAAAAAAATCTAAAGGATTCAAATCAGGTGATCGGGCTGGCCACGGTATTGTACCAGACCGCCTTATCCATCTGCCTGGAAAGTTTTGATCGAGATACTCTCTCACTGAGAGTGCATAGTGCGCTGGGCAGCCATCATGCTGAAACCACATGTCCCTGTAAATACTCAGTGGTACGTCCACCAATAAATTTTGTACATGATTTTTCAAAAAATCCAAATAAACTTCAGCAGTCAAAGTCTCTGGGAACTCAAACGGACCGATTATTTTACCATTTAAAATTCATGTCCAATGGTTTATCTTGAAGCGATATTGAGATTTATCTTCTTTCATCAAATGTGGGTTTGCTACGTGCCACTCGTGTAAGTTATGCAGGTTCATGTACCCGTCTTTCTTAAATGTGGTCTCATCCGACCATAAAATTTTTTCAAACAACTGTGGATCTTTCCTGTGTCTTTCTAACATTGTGCGACAAATAGCAACCCGGGGCTCATAATCCCGGGCAGGAGAGGTTGAACACGCTGTATGTGGTATGGATGAAGCACATCACTTACTTGCTATTGCACACTTTGATACCTATCAGTACCCCTTCGTTTACTGCGCATCTTTACATGTTCGTGCTTGTTGATTTCGTACTGTTACTAATTTTGGATTCGTGAACTGGACTGTTGATCGCTTGTGATTTGGATTTGGACTGTTTAATTTCTCTTCAAAACAACATTTGCTTTCCTTAGACTATCTTTGATAGTGTGATTGTGCAGTGCCGCTATGTCCGTGTACACCGTAGAAGAATATGCTAACATGCACCTCATTTATGGGGAACGCAGATGCAACGCTAGTGCTGCAGCGAGACTTTATTGTGAGAGGTACCCGAATGCAGCTCGTCATCCAGATCATAGAGTGTTCACAAATGTGCACCGCTTACTGTTCTCAGAGGGCCAACTACCAAACCAGTCACACTGTGAGGGAAGATATTTCCTTCCTTACGAAGACGTGGTGCTAGGAGCTGTCGAAGAAGACCCGAGTACTTCAGTGCGTGCAATAGAACTAAAAACAGGTGTGCCCAAAAGTACAGCCCATAGAATCTTGCAAAAAAACGTGCTCCATTCATACCACGTACAGCGTGTTCAAGCTCTTCTGCCCCGGGATTATGAGCCCCGAGTTGCTTTTTGTCGCACAATGTTAGAAAGACACAGGGAAGATCCACGGTTCTTTGAAAAAATTTTATGGTCAGATGAGACCACATTTAAGAAAGATGGGTACATGAACCTGCGTAACTTACACGAGTGTCACGTAGCAAACCCACATTTGATGAGAGAAGATAAATCTCAATATCGCTTCAAGATAAACCATTGGACAGGAATTTTAAATGGTAAAATAATCGGTGCGTTTGAGTTCCCAGAGACTTTGACAGCTGAGGTTTATTTAGGTTTTTTGCAAAATCATTTAGAAAATTTATTGGAGGACGTGCCACTGAGTATTTATAGGGACATGTGGTTTCAGCATGATGGCTGCCCAGCGCACTATGCACTCTCAGTGAGAGAGTATCTCGATAAAAACTTTCCAGGCAGATGGATAGGGCGGTCTGGTACAATACCGTGGCCAGCCCGGTCAACAGATTTGAATCCGTTAGATTTTTTTTACTGGGGAACTGTAAAAAAAAAAGTGTATTTCAAGCCGATTCACAATGTAGCTGAGCTACGGCCAAGACTATTGGAAGCAGCTGAGTTTGTTAATAACCGTGGATTCGCTCGTTTAATAACCCGATCTTTTTTAAGAAGATGTCGACCGTGTATTGCGGCTGAAGGAAAACAGTTTGAGCATTTGCTGTAAAGGTAAATCATCATCAGCAGCATTTTGACGCCCACTGTTGTACAAACAGTTATCCTTAAGGGTCCTTGTGCGTTTTCATAATCGCTGTTTAATTAGGAAATTTTGAAAAATTTTCATCAGTTTTTCTTCAAATAAAAATTGTGCATAAGTTAACGAGTAATCTTCTAAAGTGTTATACCATTTTGGAATGCTTATTAAATGCGCCAACTTTTAAGGTTACTTGCCAAACTCTCGTAGTACATTTTTTTCCAGTACAGCCAGTTAAAGTTGAGCAAAGTTTTACTTTGGAATACTTGGTTGGGAAATAAGTGGCAGTTTTTCCTGAACGAGAAAAGTTGGCAGTAAGGTTGAGACACCAGTTTGAAGATGCATTATTCATCATTACATTGTAAAAATACAATCCAAAAAAAGTTAATATTTGTAGTAACAGGAGTTGATAAACTGCCGTAGGGTGTGAAATTTCTATATTTTTTTCAAAGACCTATAATTTTCAAAACACATACATAAAATTTTTTTAAATATTTTTCTGATAGCTGTTATGACTTTGCCTATCACCCGGTTTCAGCTTGACGTCGACTTCTGGGACACCCTGTATAAACAGCTCGATATGAATAAATGTATCGCGGGCATCTTTTTTGACCTATCGAAAGCTTTCGATACAATTGACATTGGACTTCTCGAGGAAAAATTATTTTATTTAGGGTTAAGAGGTTTTATATTAGATTGGGTAGTGTCTTTCCTGTCTGACAGGAAATTCAAAACAAAAGTTAACGGAATTACATCCGCAACGTACAGTATCGACATTGGAGCAGCGCAAGGCTCAGTTTTAGCACCCCTTGTATTCATTCTATATATAAGTGATTTGCATCTCTCTGGATTTGTAACAAATTATGCGGATGATATGTCAGTTCTTGTAAGTGGAACTACACGTAATGACATTATTGCAAAAATAAATGAAGTAAAAGGTGAAATGAAATTATTATTATGCTCTCGTCCACTCACATTTATCAAGAAACATCATAATTTGGGGACAAGCAACTTCAATTTCTAGGGCATTTGTTCAACAGAAGAGAATAATCAGATTGATATTCAACATTCGTAGAAGAGAATCCTGCAGAGATATCTTCAGAAGTAAAAACAACACGACTCTACCAAGCATTCATATTTATAAGTGCGCCCTTTTCACACATACAAACAAAACAAAATTTATACAGAACAAAAACATCAACACACATTATAATACAAGGGCAGGTGAGAGTCTGATGGCCGATTTCACCAACGTGTCTTAAAATTTAGGAGTTTATTAATTCAAGTTAAGAACTGCCCAAATCCATTTTCGGTTTCACCAGTTGCTAAGTATTTCCTAAAGTGAGATAAGTATTACCTAAGATAGGTATTGGTTAAACAGCGTTCTAAGCCGGTTAGGAAGTTCTTAGCCCGTTTGACATTTGTCATAAGTGACGTTATATTCCTAGCGAATATAGCAGCTATATGGAAGTGATTGAATTTATCGAAGATTTGGACCATTATGACGATGATGATGAACATATACGACGTCCTCGTGTTCTGAGAGATCGTACCGATTATTTCGAGCAGTACGACGAAATGGATTTTTTCCGTAGATTTCGCATGAATAAAAACACTGCACTGTTCCTCTTAGATCAAATTGAACATCAGCTGGCATATGCAGATTACAGGTATGTATAACAGTGTAAAGGTACCTAATATTTGAAATTAAATTGATAATATTTCGTTTTTACAAAAATGCTGCAATTGCACCCATAAACCAACTTTTAATCTGTTGCCGATTATGGTGGTGTTAGTAGTAGCAGTAGTTGCAGGATTGTAAAGAAAGTTTCTCATGCTTTGGCATCATTGCTGCAAAAATTTGTAAAAATAAAGTAAAACATGACTTTTTTTAATTGCCGGATTTCCAAATGTTCTAGGATCAATTGATTGTACACACATAAAGATACAGTCACCAGGTAAATTAATGACCTAATACCAACACAATATTATTTATGAACATTTACGTTCAGGTGGAGATGATGCAGAAGTGTTCAGAAATAGAAAAGGTTATTTTTCATTGAATGTACAAACTGTCTCTGATGCAAAATTAAAGATATTAAACATTGTGTGTCGTTGGCCAGGATCTACACATGATTCTGCTATTTTTCAAAATAGCAGACTATGCTATCAATTTGAGACAGGAGTGCATGCTGCAGGATTACTTTTGGGAGATAATGGATATCCTTTAAAAGTAAGATATATGATATACATAATAAACAATATCTTAGTCACACAATCTTTTGTAAGTTAAAAAATAATAAAAGAAACAACTATTAATTTATTTGGAAATTTATTGCAAAACAATTCCATTTTATATCTATTCATTTTACTTCAATTTCCCATTTGCATAAGTGTGATCAAATCGTTTAGAGGTTCTCCATCTGAAACAAGAATAACATATATATTTCATGCTTTGTATACATTTGCTTTGGATAACGTTATTTATACATATTTAAATATTTTTAGAATTATCTGATGACACCCTTTTTAAGCCCACAAACTATCGGCCAGCAAAATTATAATAGGGCACATATTGCAACAAGAAATACAGTGGAACGACAATATGGAGTGCTAAAACGAAGATTTCCTGTATTGGCTACCGGATTAAGATAAAAATTAGAAAATTCTATAAATGTAATATTGGCATGCTCTGTATTACACAACATTTGCATAGATAAAAATGAAGATGTCCCACCAGTAGAAGTAGAGAATATTGAAAATGATATACAAAATGGCCAAATGGAAAGAAATATTCAAAATGGACAAAATAATTTAAGTCGAGATATACTTGTAGCTAGACATTTTCAATAAAAAATTAAGAACTTCCTCACCTTTAATTTTTTTAATTATAAGATCCCTTATTTCAATATCTTTTTTTAGTTTTCTTTTTTTGAGCTCGTGAAGTTCCATTTCCCTTCTCATTTCTGCATCTATTAGTTCTTGTTTTTTCCTTTCTGTTAAGCACCGTGCTTCATTCAAGGAGCTCCCTCTTTCAATTGAAATTAGTGGTCGTCTTCTTTGGTGAACAGGCGTCTTATCCTTGAAAAAAATCTATTAAAAATCATCCAAAGCAACATGATGATTATGCATACTATTATTTGAGGCTGAATCTGATGCTCCTGTTCCTCTTCTTCCTCAACAACAATGTTATCTTGTAAATCTGAAATATATCATTTTCTATTAGCATTGAATTTCATTACATATATATATTATAACATACCCAATGAAGCATTTTCTGGTACCATATTTTCTTTGCCTTCTTCAATATCGCAATCATTGATATTTTCCAAACCCCTACCAGCACGACCCAAAATATCTAATACTTTTTCCAGTATGGGATCTGCTTTTACTTCAGAAGGCCCACCTCCAGTTTGCGAAACGCTAATGCGTTCTTTGGCCCGGTAAGTTTTCGCATCGCTCTTCAGTTTTGCCCATATTTTCTTCAAGCTTTCTACCTCCCTGCAAAAACCAATTTAACGTGGTAATGAATACTAATAAATATATAATAGACAAATATCTACCTTCTCTCTCCCCTGCACGTGAATTAAATTGTTGCCCAATTTTCAGCCAGGCCTCCTCCTTCATCTGGTTTGTAGAACCATCGGTCTTTTTGTTTAAAATAATGCTATTGTTTCCAATTAAAGACAATAGCATTATTTTATCATCGCTATTGAAATTAGCTGAGCGCTTTCTTTTTTGCACAATTATATCCATTTTAACCAAACCACCTAATAGCATTCAAGCATCCAAGCAGCTGTCATGAATGACAATAATTGTCACTTGTCACTTATGAAATATCGAATCGATTATTATGAAGTATTGCAACCTGACAACAAAAACTTTCTAAACACTGTGTCTTAACTAGGAACTTCATAACTAAGAATTACCTAGCCTGGTGAAACCAAAGATTGTATTTAGGAAATTCCTACCGCTAAGTAATTCTTAGTTAGGTTTTAATTTAGGAAATGTTGGTGAAATCGGCCATGAGTATTCCAAAACACACACTGACGCTGTTCGAAAAGTCACCGGAATACACCTGCATCAGAATATATAACAAACTTTCAGCTAACATCAGGAATGTCAGTAATATTGCTAGTTTTAAATGTAAACTACGAAAATTATTTGTTGAAAAATATTTCTACTCTTTGTCAGAATACCTCGCACTGTGATATATTTTTTTAAACTTTTTTTATATGTGAATGTCTGTACGCCTTACGTTGTCCCTGTTTGTACTTTGTAAATAGTTATGTTTGTTACGTTTTTATTTTTAATTATGTGTACTATGTACCTCCCACTTAGGACGAGTCTTATGTCATTTTTTTTGATCTACAAGACAATAAATGTATCTATCGATCTATCTATCTATAACACTGTCTTCTTTTGATAGGGCTTAACTTGTGCTGACATAATCCTCCAAGTGCAGAGTCAACCTTCTTGAGGCTATTTTTTTGCGGTAATTTTTGAGAAAATACGTCCTTCGTCTTCATGTATTATTCAAGCTGTCAATCATTTAAGGACGGTGTTAAAAAAACTTTCATGTGGCTGAAGCACATCATTTTTGCATGCTTGAGTGGTTATAATAAACTATTTATAACTTCTTCGTGACCTGAAGCACCGATGAAATAAGATTTTATGCGGTTCATATTTTTTCACGATGCCCTGCTGTTGTTTGGACGGTTCATTTTTTTGAGAGGGTGAGAGTGATGTACGATTGAAGTTTACAGCAATTTGTATATTTATGAGGACTGCGAAACCTGGTTTTTCTGGTAATTGCTGTAATATAAATGCGTGCATACATAAAGCCAACAGGAAATCATTTTGGGGTGCACGTTTCATGCTAGCAATCCTCATGGGCGTACATTAGGGGGACAACGGGGACATAGCCCCCCTAGCTTTCGCTTGAGAAGTAGAATATACCTACGCAACAACTGACGGGTGTACATGTGTTCTTTTTGCTTCCAAAAACATTCGCAAAAATTCCCTCATCGCTACATCTGAATGGTGGAGATGGGGAAGCCCCCTCTTCCCAGATGTCAGACCCACCAACATGCATGTACATTTTTAAAAATACAAACCATCTGATTGCAGTAACTAAACGATCAATTGTACCATCTATACAAACCTAAGGATACCCCAAATGTCAACATCAATCTGATTTTATAGAATCTTAGCATATTGATTCAGATCAAAATGGATCAACAGAAGGCATCTTTCTAGTAATGGATCTAATGGATATTGCCCAAAGCTTTATTCAGCAGCAGTGGCTGCAGTAGTAGAGTCTTCGGTCTCCTGATCAGTCGCCGTGCGCTGTGCAGGTTCGAATCCCGTCACAGGAGAAATGTTTCACTTGGCTATGGATGCTGTGATTGTCCGTAGGTGGTAGATGGTCTATGACTGTCGAACGCAGAGGTACCACCCGGCGGATCTCGTAGGCGGGGCCACAATGTGTGCATGCACATGTGTTCCCTCGCGTTCCCCCTTTCCCCTGTAGTCCCACGGTATCCTATGTGTGTTTACGCCTTAGGCCTTCGTGGTGGTTGGAGTATGAAAAAAACTAGCGAAAAATATACGTTTTGTGAAAGAAGGGCTAATCCCCATATAAAATCAAAGAGCTCTTTTTTCAGTTGACATGGAGAGCAAAATCTCTGATGGAGATCGACAATGACCAGCATTTTAGTAAAACTGGATAAAAAATTGGCCAATCGTGAATCAAATCTGATAATGCCAAATTTATACAGGAATGAATACTGCTCCATAATGTCTACTGGTAAAAATGCTAGGGACGCCCGGCACTCTCTCCATAACTCGCACCCGAATAGGCCGAGAGTACTAGCCATTTCAAGAACATCCGTAAATTGTGCCGGATCCTGTATGATATCAATTACAGCGCACTTTATTGAAAAGGACAGTGTATTTCTTACCAGAAAGGTAATTTTAGAAAAAAAAATATATTTTTAAAAATGCATCAACCTATCGATTGTCGCTTAAATTGCCGTCTCATGTAGTAATTTAAAGATATATGAACCTTTGTTTGGCACACACATCCCTTCTTTCTCAAATCGTATTTTTTTCGCTAGTTTAGAAGAAATCGACTGTATTCATTTTGATCCATTGCTTCAAAGACGCCTTCTTATTGGTCCATCTTCATACGGATAAAGAATTTTGATCCTGCCGATCAATAAAGAAATTGGGCCGAAATGTTCCTAGCACTGTCAAGGAAAATCCAGAAACATCTCGTATGTCAATATCCATCAAGTTGCTTGAGCTGTATCTGTGAAATATAAATTTCAAGGTAGACACTTTGGTAAAATCCGCTATTTTGATTTTATAAGATCTTAGTATGCTTAGTGTTACTCAGACTGTCCAGACAAATCCAGCCTCCTTCAAGCTTTTGTAGTTGTAGACTAGATTTAGATTTTATACAATTTCAGCACACCAAGTGTCACTAGCTCTTTTCAGACAAATCCCGAGACACATGATAGTATACATCAAGTCATTTAAGCTGTAGACAGTAAAATATGCTGTTGTGTTGCTTCACTCTTACCCTTTGTTATACAGGGTGTTTCAGTTTATTGTAGCATAACTTTAAGATTCGATAGAACTTTTAAAATTAATGCAAAAAGTCTATATAAACATGGGTCGAAAAATGCGTGGCTTCCGAAATACAGGGTGTCTAAATTTACTTTCTAAAATAGTTTTTTTTAAATATTTGGAACAATATTTGATGTTTAACAGTGAAAATTGGTATACAAGGGTTCTTTTGGTACGACAAAACGAACCATGGTCATAGTTCTACTGTAGCCACTAGAGGGCGCTCTCTACTGTACCTGTAGTGTATTAAAATGACCGAAAATTTTTTCTTAGTACAATTTTTTGCTTTTTGAATAAAAAAACTGATTCTTCGCACTTTTCAACATAAAAAAGCTCTCTCGTGAATTTTCGTTATAGTTAGCCGTTTTTGAGATATTTCGATTTTTAAAGTTCGATACATTTTTAATTATTTATGATAAAATAACGTTAAAAAGTCAGTATCTCGATAATTTTTAGAAGTAGGCTGTGCTTGCAAATATTTTTTAAATTGAAAGCAGAATAAGGTTAAACGTCAATTAGTTGACAGTTAGTTTTGTTGTCTGCTGAAACCTGAAACGTTTTTTTGCAATTGTGAATTCACGAAATTTAGTTTCTTTTACCTGTTTTTTTTTTGTAAGTTTTATAACAATGCCATTTTTATACTCCAATCAAGAGTTAGCGGATATTCATTTTGTGTATGGCTTTGTAAATGGAAAAGCAGCAGAAGCAGCCAGAGAATACGCATGGAAATTTCCAAACAGACGACATCCAACTCGCTCAGTATTTGTAAGAGTGCATCGCCAAATAATTGAAAATGGTTTTGGAAATCTCCAAAGGGATCAAAACATAAATGTTCGTCAGCGCAGATTTATCCGTATGATTCTGCGTGAGGTTGATAGAGATCCGACCACAAGTGTTAGGAGAGTTTCTGGTGCCTTGGGAATTTCAGCAAGCCATGTTCACCGTGTCTTAGAAATGACCATAGACGTCCTTACCATTGGCAACCTGTACAAGGACTACAGCCAGGGGACGGATAACGAAGAATCACATTTTGTCAGTGGATTCTTGATAGAACTGATAATAATAGGCAGTTTTTAAGTAACGTTTTAAGTACCGATGAGTCATGCTTCACTAGACGTCGGGTGGTAAATTTTCATAATCAACATATTTGGTCGCATGAAAATCCGCATGCAGTTCGGGAAAGAAATTTTCAGCATGCGTTTAGTGTGAACGTGTGGATTGGTATCTACCGTAATCCACTATTTGAACCCTACCTTTTGCCTGCAAGGTTAAATGCTGCGACCTTCTTGGAATTTTTAAAGGCTGAACATGCAAATATGTGGGATGATGTTATGTTAGATTTAAGAAGATTGGCCTGGTTCCAGCTTGATGGTTGTCCAGCTCATTATTCGAGAATAGTTAGAAACTGGCTGGACGAAAATTATCCAGAAAGATGGATCGGCCGTGGAGGACCAGTCGCCTGGCCTCCACGATCCCCTGACCTAAATCCATTAGATTTCTTTGTGTGGGGATTTCTAAAAGAAAAAGTGTACCAGACTCCCGTAACCACAAGAGATATGCTAATAGACAGAATTGGGAATGCATGTGATGAAATAAGGTCTTATTTGAATCGTGCTATACCACGTTCGATCATTCGTAGATGTGAATTGTGTATTGAACAATTAGGTTTACATTTCGAGCAACTACTTTAAATTTTGTATGTTTGTCCTAACTATCCAATAGCATTTTAGTTGTAAATAATTAATTTAATTTGTTAATAATAATATTGGAAAATTAAACAAATTAATATTCTGTTTTTTTGTGTTTATTTGGAGTTAGGAATTATTGCTGTGTTTAAAAACACAATCTAAACGATCATCTTAATTACTTGTAATGCCCAAATCGAAAATGTAAAAAAAAATATTATTTTCCCATAAATAATTAAAAATGCACCGAACCTTAAAGATCGAAATATCTCAAAAACGGCTAACTATAACAAAAACTGACAGGAGAGCATTTTTATGTTGAAAAATGCGAAGAATCAGTTTTTTTATTCAAGAAGCAAAAAATTGCACTAAGAAAAAAATTTCGGTCATTTTAATACACTACAGGTACAGTAGAGAGCTCCCTCTAGCGGCTACAGTAAAACTATGCCCATGGTTCGTTTTGTCATACCAAAAAACCTTTGTATACCAATTTTCACTGTTATACATCAAATATTGTTCGAAATATTAAAAAAAAACTATTTTAGAAAGTAGACTTAAACACGGAAGCCACGCATTTTTCGACCCATGTTTATATAGACTTTATGCATTAATTTTAAAAGTTACACAATAATTACAACAATAAGCTGAAACACCCTGTATAATACTACGAAAGGGAAAATCTGTTTATCCGACCTCCAGAATCAACATTAGTAGTAGCGATACAGGCCAAGTATTCCTAAAATGAACTCCTTTGATGAGTTTTCGAAATGAGATAATTCCGTCACCAATTACGGATCTTATAGATGTTCTTACTAGGTGGAACTGTTCATGTTTATGTATCATGATACCGGTTTATAAAAAGATCAATACCTGTCCTGTAAGGCTTCCTCCTATTCCTCTGATCAATTCCAAGCTGTCTGGGTTTCTTTTTTGAGGCATCAAGCTACTGCCCGTGGAATGACTTTCAGAAATTGTTACAAATCCGAACTCTTTCGTACTGTACAGTATTAAATCCTCAGCTAGACGACTAAGATGTATCCCTATCTGCAATCACAGAATATAAAAGATTACAAAAAATCCCTAGTTTTTTTTTTATGCATTGTTAACGTTTCGATCATTTCATAGTTTAGGGGAAATATTTATCAATGGTCAAATAAAACAAACAAACTGTTAAGGACCTCAGACATCAAGACCTCTTTAAACATTGTTTTTGCTTGCGCCCTCCTTGTGAGCTTTTGAGAAGTATTTTGAAAAATTCTTCACATCGTTCAAAGATCAGTAGGCAGTACCAGGTCAGCGTCAAGATTTTCAAAGTACGGGCCAATACAGACAATGCATTAGAGAACACAGTCATTCCAAGGAATTAAATGGATTTGCAAAATTATTTCGAAGCAATTTGCCATGAAAACACTCACCATGGAAGAATAAAATAGGAATTCAGCACAAAAGTCCCGGTCGCCAACTGCCTGCATACTGTTCTTTGTGACACTGTTGAATCCAAGCTTATGTGCTAAAGCCTCTCTATCGATAGGGAAAGGGTTTCCAGCTAAAGCACCGCTACCCAGTGGTGAGGCTCCTAGCTTATCTAGAAGATTGGTGATGCTATCATGATCGTTCTTTAATGTCCAGGCATAACTGAAAGAGTCATACACTATTAAGCACATATTTCACTGAGGATAAGCTAAGTATCTCTGTAGGAACCATGGCATCATAGACAGATTGCTCTTCCAAGTGACTAACGTATTTTACCTGAAGAAATCCACATACCGCATTCAGGCGTCCAAAAAAGGATCCGGTAGGTACTAGCGCCATCTATATGGCAGTGGCAGAACACGGAAAAGAATTAAGAAATATATGTTATGTTTTGCTACTACCTCTTAGTTAGTTAGATAGTTAGTTAGTCTTTATTGTCTTTTGGTCATAAATAGCTATGACATAAGACTTGTCAACATTACATATACAATACATAAGTATGCGATATGCAAAAAAGAACAGGTAGTTAATTAAAACAGTAATTGAGATAATAAATAATAAACAAATAAATAAATAAAATAGGAGTCATTACAAACACAAACAAATTCTTAATGACATCTAACGAACATGAAAAAAAAATCAATTTTAAATAAATAAAAACAATTGAGCACTTAAAATGTCTAGAAGAGGAGCAATAAATAGACTGTTTCTTTTCCGTTAAGCTTAATAAATAAATAAAAAGAATAAATAAATAAAATTAAGCAGTTAGGTATTCGTCGACGGTGTAGTAACACTTTTTTGATAAATATCTTCTCAGACGTTTCTTTAATGTCAACATATTAGTGCTTCTGCGGAACTCAATTGGTAGTTTATTGTAAATTTTTGTACAGGCATACCCATTCTGGTGTTGTAGTGCCTGTTAACTGTGTTGTTTTGGATAAAACTGGTCCTATGTTTAAATGCGCATTTAGTCAGTAATAAAAAGAACACCCAGTGATAATACATTTATTACGAACGGGTTCTGGGTACATGCTTGTTTATGTTAGGACAAAAAACTATCAGCTTCTCAGCCACAACTGTGTTTTTGTCATATCGCCTGCTCTTCCAAACAAAACAAGTATGCGATAGTTGTGTTTTGTAGCTACAATTGACATTTGACATTTGACAATTGACAATTGGTAATTTGATCATCGTGCAATACGCTGAGAACAACTGCTTTTATCTGTTCATTATGCCTAGAGTGAGAACACGAGGAAATTTTCAACGGCTTAGGGAGTTTTATAGGGAGGAATAATAGGGCTGCATGATGCCGGTTTGTCCTTTAGAGAAATAGCAACAGGAGTATGATGGTACCGCTTCTAGTTTGCAAGGTGAGTTGCGGACCGATGGTTTGGAGAGCTTATTACAATGCGCATTGTTTATCGCCATATTTTTTTATACTTGTCAGCCCTATAGAGACATACGTTATATACAAAAGTTATTTGTAATGAATCTGTTATTGCTGGGTGTTCTTTTTTCTGTCACTTAGTATATATTTCAGCTGCTCTGAAATTCTCTGATCACAAACTTTGGTTCAAAGGATCATTCATTCATCAAAAGGTGAACAGTTGCTGGACTCAATTGAAACATCTTTTAAAAATTTCAACATTCAACAGGCTATATGCGGAACCTTGCAGTTGTTTCAGAGACAACTATTACATTAATGCTTGGAGCATCTTCACCGTAAAATTTTTACTTCCATTGTGTGCACATGCCCTATTTCCTGGATTCCAGCTGTAATCAGCGATAATGACCAGAAATGGTCACTAAAATTGCTCTGCATTATGCTTTATTGCTTTTTTATGACCTTTTATGGTCTTCCTGCCAATAAATATGGAATAATTTTGAAGCTATGGCAAGGAAAACTAAGCTTGTCACTGGACACTTCCTTGCTTTGTTGAAAGCATCATCTCCTCATGACACTATCTTCTTATTATCTTTTATCTTGACGTCATAACTAAAAGTATAGGTGATGATTATGCTTCATTAATGCTTCGGATGATACAAGACGTATTACAGGTCTCTTGGTAAGTATCGTGAAGTCGTGAACAAATTGAATTTCATCAATGTTTACGGTATTACTGATTATTTTTGGACGTAGAGGGTACAACCTAAAACATGCGAAAATTTGTTCCCTAACATCCCTAACAGCGCTTAGAATTTCTGGGCAGATAAGATGTTTCTAAGCCTCATTTGATCAATTTGAGCATAAAAAATTTGATTATCTTAACAGTAGTTGATGGGAAGAGCGTATAGGTACCAATGCGTGGGGAGGTGTGAAGCAAACTACTTGGTTCCACTTTATTAGCTTGTATGTATGTATGTATCGGAATCTTTGAGCATAATTTTCACCAACTTCCAGAAGTGTGATTAATTTGAAACTTCGCACACTTATCAAGGACTGATGGCAATGCAATAATCTGATAACTGTTTTCCATTATCCCTATTAAGACCACCAGGATTGATAGATTCTTTTATAGATCCTCTGTAGGGAAGTGAGAGAGGTGGAGCTAGCGCGCGATCTGCGTATGCGCGCATAATTTGGGCACTCGGCACAGCAGAACGGAGGCAGATACTTTTTCAAGATAAAAAAATCGAGTGGGATCAGGTGAACTTACTAGACCGCCTTATCCATCTGCTCGGGTATTCCGCATCAAGATATTCTCTAACTGTACGCGCATAGTACCCCAGGCAGCCATCATCCACATGACACTGTAAATGCCTAGTGGCACGTCTTTCGTAAACATTTTTGTAAATGTTTAAATAAATTTCGCCATTCAGAAACTCTGGCAGCTCAAATGGTACAATGACCCTTCCATTCAGAAACCTAGTCCACATGTTCACTTTAAAACGATACTGTGATCTATATCGCCTCATCAAATGTCACATGTCACTCGGGTAAGTTGTGTAGATTCATGTAACCATCTTTATTAAATGTCTACTCATCAAAATTTCCTCCAAAAGGCGCAGATCTTCCTGGTGCCTCATCACATTGTTTGAAAAAATGAAAATGAAAAAGTGATATTATGCCGATTTTTTTTGACATTATGTAGGTTTTCCTACAAGATGTTAGCTTACTTAGTTGTACGTGTTGCCTAAACGTTGTTATTAATCTTTGGCTCTGATGTGATGTAAAATCTAATTCTGAGATGGCATTACTGGAGGTCTAAGCCGTAAGTTATATGTGTTGATGATAATTACATTGGGTTCTTGTCTCAAATACACTTAATTGAGATTCAAAGCTAGAAATTAGTTGCGCATCCACTTTTTCTTATCCATTCTGGAAATTACATATACAAATTTGCTAAATTTCAAAAATGGAAGAGATAAGAAATAATTATATTCACTGTACACTGTCGAATTACAAGCTATATACAAGCTACCAGTAATTACACACAACGCGGGCGCGGTGATGATTTACCGTAATTCTCATCAGTTTTTCGTAATTTATAACTTTGAACATAACCTCCCTTCAGAAAGCACAACATAAAAATAACCCGTCGGGCATATAGAGCCAGTATACTTCATTGGCAGCATATTCAGTAATGATTTTCTCTCATATACTTCTTGCTATTCAACCAACTTTCTTTTCAGAGATAAAACTACAGACTAGGACCACTCGGCCTCATAAAACACATGCAACCAATAATGCGTGTAGCTTAGTTGAGTGATTCCTTCATAGATGGACGTTCACAACGATCCTAGTGAGCAAACATGGAACGACTGTTCGCGCGCTAAAAACTACCTAGTTTGCAAGATGACATGTTATAGGTTTTTTTGACATTTTATAGGTTTATTACTTGATACCCGTGCCGGGATTGGGGAGATTGTACTCGCTGTACGTAGTACGGGTGGAGCTCGTTCTTTCACAAAATTTGGTGGGTCGTACATACTTCTAACCACACCCGTGCTTGCTCCTATTCGACATACTGAAGTAGTCGGGGCTTCCTCCATTGCTTATAGTACGATGTCCTCGTAAGGAAAGGAAGAGAAATAGTCACAGAGTGTAGGCTTTTCGGATTTTTCCGATTTCTAAAGCCTACAATTTGAAAAGTACACGACTTTCTTTCTTTTATATTTTTCTGGTGACTATTATGACTTGGCCTAAGCCAAGTTACGAGCTTGACGTGGACCTGCGTCATTAAAAAAACACATAAAGGATCTTTTCGCGAGTCCACGGTGTAGCACAGTGCACTACCTGGAGCCGATGTTCAAATTTTCCCAAAGAAACCGCCTAACGTCTGTGAGGTACTAGCGGGTGACAGGTCTTATGTCAATGTCATTTAAATAATAGACATCTCAACTGAAAATTTGTCTTCGCAGTGCTGAAAATTGAGTTAAATTATTAAATCATAAATGGAGGAACACGTCCACCTGATTTTATATGACGAGGGAGAAGGTCATCGAAGATATATGAACCGCACTTGTCATATCAAATGATTGATTTTATTGATATATATGTACGTTGCACAAAAAACGATCGGTCTTTTTATTTCAGATTCAAACAAGGTAGCTAAGTTTATCAAGAAGCTTAAAGCAAACATTTTGCGAAACATGCGCCATCCAACCACTCCCGGTGTAACTTGAAAGAGTCAAAACTTTGAGAGACAGGGGAAATTCCATCTGTTCCTGCTCCGGTTCACTACGGGATCTCGCGAAAAAATCTCTATTGCAATTATTTGTGAACGATGATACAATTATTTCCCGCCGGCAGCGATTCGATGGATTTACCAAACCAATTTCCCAAAAAATCGGAAATTCGTTGCTGGAAAGAACCAAAAGTCCGAACCTATACGGAGATCGCCACTTGATCGCTTATGCGTGGAGGATGGAACTTGTACTGGGCGTTTTGCCTGAGCGTATTTTCTGAGTTACCTATTTCGGTGGTACTATATCCAAGCTCATCCGATTCTTATTTCGTACAAAGCGCCAGGACTCACCAACGGACCTACGTATCTTTTTTTAATTATGAATCGTGTAACATTCACCGATAGTTGTATTCCGCATAAATATATCCTACGTTCCTTGTTACCTTAGCAAGTAGTGGCTCCATCTCACAGGCTGTGCTCTTTGTAGATGAGTGTATCCAGGCATTTTCACATCAATCTCTCTATCTGCCCTGGTAACCAATGTTTTAACAAGACTTCGGAGATTAGAAGATAATTCCGTAATACTGGATCTCATCCACAGCTTCATGTCTGTGATCACTTGGTCATTCCTGCTTCTCCCAACATGAAGCTTCGTAGCCGGTTCTCCTATCAATTCCTATAATTCAGCACATTTCATAAAATGGAGTAACATAGACTCCAAAAAAGTTATAAGTTCTTAAACTGAGTGATCACGTCGGCGAAGATCTCATGTTTTTATTACATAACGTATATCCTAAGAGTTTTGGCGCAAAATTCATTGGATTTAATTTTTTAACTTTACTGTCAGTTGACATTTATTTATTTTGAAGTTTTCGCTTTAAGATGTCGTATAAATTAGAAATAAGAACAAGTATCTACAAGTTGGTTGAGCGGGTATTCAAAGCTGAAATCTGTTGAATATTCCAGAATGAAATCATTTCACGCTGAATCATTTATCGAACAATATCGGAGTTCGAGCAGGGAATATCATGTTCGAGTCTAACAAAAAAAGGAAGACCACGTGTATTTACTGCGCATAAGTCAGAGAGATTGGTGAGAAGAGCAAAAAATCAAGTTGGAATGTCAGCAAGGAAACTGGCTCGTCAATTCAGATCTTCGAAGAGTACGATATCATTCGAATTGAGGAGGAATGATTTTAAATATAGAAAGAGACTTATGTCCCAAATACTTCCAAGGTTAACTCTTTCATATGGATGCTGTCTTCAACTGTGGAGGGAACACTTTGCCAATGGAAAAATCTATATTTTAGATGACGAAAAGTATTCCACCTTGAGGATTTCTGAAATGAAGGAAACCGAAGGATTGCGCACAACGTAGAGAAATGCCCTGATAATGTTAGATACAAACATAAAGCGACATTTGCAGATAAAAATCCTTGTCTGGTACTCAATTTCTAAGAAGTACGTTGCCACGTGCTAAAATCACGTAACCATTCCTTTTACTGTTTTGATCACTTATGAGTAATTTGAATTTCTCTTCATTAATAGTAGAGTACCGATTCTTAGACCAAGCCTTTTTTTAATGATTTTCTTTTGCCTAATTCCATAGTTTATTGATTGTAGAATTTCACACGAATTATATCTGTCATTCTCAGTGACTCATTATTGTATTGAAATCTTTCTTCTATCTGAGAAATTTGCTCACAAAATATTGTTGGTCCCTCGTGGCCAGATTATGTGTTTACCTTCCTATCGAGATACCTTCTTTACCGGCTTTTATCTGTTCCTTTTGATGTTCTGTCGAACGTGTGTTTTTCATGGCCACTCATTTAACCTTCTTTTAGGGGTTGCGTGCGCAGACAATCCAGCGCCATTTCTCCTTCCGCTGTGATTTCGGTTGTGTGCGAGCGTTTTTTTCTCGTTAACTTCCAGATTTTGGGATATTAACGCACCAGTTTGTGGAGTAGTAACGTTTTATTTTAATAATAGTAATAATAATAATAATAATAATAATGTTTATTGTCACGAAATACAGGTAAATATCAAATATTGTGCACAATAAACATAAAGCACCCAAAAAAAGTTTGCACTTGTGTTTGGGTTTGTTAAAAATAAAAACTAATAGTAGAGTCAGTGTATGAAAAAAAAAACCGTCAATACTGTATAATTTGGTGAATTGTTATGGTAATGTCAGAAAAAATATCCAGACAATTCTAACTAAAGCAAAAGTATGGATGCCAGTGTAAGTAAAATATTATTGATTATGATAATGATTTTTCAGATCTCCAATTTCGTTGTTGTTGTTGTTGTAAAATCCATTTTTTTAGTTCTTTTTTAAATGATCTATTTGATTTAATTACTTTTAATGACTATGGTATGAACTTATAGAATTTTGGTCCCAAGAAAAGCAGAGATCGTTGTGTAATGGTTTTTGATGTTTCTGGAATAGGGGAGACTAGGGAGGCTTGAGACAAGGGAGGAATCAGACACAACATTTATTTCCTAAAATCGGGTATGCAGAGCCATCTGTTGGTTATTGGTTAATAACTGTAGTCCAATTTCTCACCGCTTGGCCAGCGAACCGGCGAGAGTAATTAGTAGAACTTTGTTGTTAGTGCACGTGGCAAGTGGCGGCCAAAACTAAATTTTAATTTTGTGATATCATTGTAGTTTGCAGCAAGTTAAAGTGAAAATTTGAGTTGATTGTTCAGGCATTATGACCTCAGGTATGTTGTGAATTATTTATATAGTTATCCCATGAAATAGAATTTTAACAAGAATTTCAAGTTAGATTATTTGATGAAATGCTATAAAGGGAGACATGAGACAGTTGTTTTGGGGAGACATGAGACGTCTCATGCCTCCCTATGTAGCATTCTATAAAATTATCGAATCTAAAATTTTGGCTAAACACCTGATTTACTGGATTACTAGTATCTTTAAACAATTAAAATAGTAGCATTCTATAAAATTATCGAATCTAAAATTTTGGCTAAACACCTGATTTACTGGATTACTAGTATCTTTAAACAATTAAAATCTGATTGAGAAATAATTTTGGAGTACAATTTGGGAAGATGCAGCATCTATATCGAAAGCGTGCAAGAAGAAATTTCGAAACACGCAAATATTCAAGAGGATGCCTCAACGTCAAAAGCCCACGTGCACGATCGCTACTTAACCACTAAACGAAACTTTTTTAGACCAGAAATTTTGCGACCGCTTCCGAATACAGGCCCTTGAAGACGGATTACAAAGCGAAAATGTGGTTCCTCAATTCTTACCTACACACCAGAAAAAGAAGCAATAGAGGATAAAGCAACTGCTCGGAAGATAAAAAAAGTTGTTCCGTTGAAGCATGACGCTCTTTTATCAACAACAAACAAATCAAAAATATTTACAGAAACTTGCCACTCCACCACAGTCTTCTTCAAGTCATGGAGAGGAACAAAGCGAGTTGGGCGGAAGCAGCGGAGATATTTCAGATGTAGAAAGCTACTAAAGAGAAGTGCTTCAGATTAAAGCTGTTTGGGATGTCAAGACCGTCCAAGTGGAAGACTTCGTTTTGTTTAAGTTTTTCACAAAGACTTCAACTATGTATTATGTGGGTCTGATAATATCAAAGGAAGATGATGAATACGAGGTAATTTTTACGTCGTCGCGGAACCACCTGGAAATTTGTTTATCTACCAGTGGAATATATTTCTTCAGTTCGAGAACAAGATATTATTTTGAAATTACCTGTTCCAAAAAATGTAGGTGGAACCGAAAGAGCTAAATCTACTATGACATTTGGTCTGGACTTACGTCACTATCAAACTGTTCGTAGATTTTCATTATTATTGTCATTATTATTTTTATTAATAATTAATAGACAGTTTTCGTTGTTGATTAATAATTAATAAACTCCTTGCGTTGTATATTTTCTGATTTTTTTATTTCTTCAATAAGAATAAACGTTTCCCTGAAACTTACAATGTCTCAGCGCTACCTGTAACTTGTCTCAACGCTCCCTTGCCTAGGGAGCCTTAACACGTTGACTTCCACCATGGACTAAAGAAAAAATGCCTTAATGGCCGTAAGACAATTTTTCCATGATTCCTCTCAAAATAATCTAAAATGCAAGCAGGATAAAAACAAAACCTAAACAAAAATAAAATACGCTGTTTTTACAACTATTTTTTTGTGGTGACACATTGGCATCACGCGGCTGGTCATGACTAGGTTATGCCTGTTGGCCGCGTGAGACCTACGCATCACCACATTTTGCCTGAATGCATCGCAATCTAAAAGTTTGTCGCGTATAACAGTCAGTCTGTTCACAAGGTACTCTGTATGTTTATCCCATTTTAAGTGTTTGTCCAAAATCACGCCCAAGTATTTTATCTTATCGGCTGACTGAATCTCTTTGAGACCACTGCTTGTATGAACTTCAAGTTTTTTAAATTATGGTGAGAGTCTGTAGTTACAAGAGAATGCTATATAGTGTGTTTTGTTGTAATTAATTGTCATAGTTCTTTCCGAAGAGACATTTATAATTGTTCAATTGTGATTTTTAGAGTATGCCACTGTTTGTTTTCATAGAAAATAGACGCATCATCCGCAAAACCGATAACTTTACCTGTACTACTTATTTTGAACAAATCGTTGATAAATAGATTAAATAAAATGGGTCCTAATACTGAACCTTGAGGTACACCGTATGATATTATGATATAATATGGGGTTCCCTTAATGTGTTATTCATTTTGTACCACACGTTTAGTTGTGTTGATTTGGGTACTACCACCCGTCCATTTTTTTAGGGAATTTTAATCTCCAGCGGTAGGTTCTCTTTTTGGAGAACCACCATTCACACTCCTCCAGCTTTGTTTTGTAGCTGCCTTGTAGCTGTTGCGCAGCCGATTTTGTTGGAAGCCATCTCTTCCCCTTTATAAAAACCCTGATGTGGACAGGTAAAATATCATTTTAATTGGGTATTTTATAGATATCAATATATTGATAGTTGCTCATTAAAATTCTTTGTGTAATCTTGATTTTGTTTCGGATTTTACGAATTCAAATATAGGGTAGTGCCTACATGTCAGTGTCTTTTGGCCTTAATACATTATAATATTAATCATGATTTTGAATTTTGAGCTGCCATAACTTATTCTAGAACAAGGGATAACTTTATGAGGTTATATCACTTTGGTTTAATTTTATATTTTCTTGCCCTCGCAGAAAGGAAAGTCTAGTGCCTAAATTTGACAACTTGACAGCTGTTTTGCATTGGCCGATCCTTAGATTTCATTTATAGTAATTTACTAAGTCAATAAATAATTTGATTTAAAAAAGAATAAAGAGGAATCACGATTTCCTCTTATTTATAAAAAAAGCCGTGGCAATGTAAGTTAACCTTATGTGGGAAGAGTGAGGGATGAAGCTTTTAATAGTCCGAGCTCTACTGATAACTGCCTCTCCGAATTGCTTCAGTTTGTCCACGAACATCATGCTAATGCCCATATTATGTTTTGGACAGACCTAGCTCAAGAGATACCCAAAACTGGCTTCGACAAACCATGTGCTCCCAGAAACGATGATTTTCCAAACTTGTCGTAGGCTTCCCCAATAGAAGATTTTTGGGCTTTCCTGTCTAAGTATGTTTATTGTGGAGGCTGGGAACCCCAAGATGAAGAACAATTAAGACGGCGAATTTACGAAAAACTGAGAGAAAGTGATCTGAATTCCGTCCATGACTTCAAGAGATACATTCGAAGAAAGGTAAATGACGGCGTAAAACTTCAAAGCGATTTGGAATCTCTGCAAAGGTATTGCACTGAAAACAGTATCTTCCTGAATTTAACAAAATGTCATTATATGAGGCTTACTAGAAACGTAGCGAACACTATAGATTTCAGATATAAGATAGGGACGGCAGAACTGGAAAAGCTTCATGTAGTAAAAGACCCAGGGGTATACATTAATGAGAAACTCTCATTCATCACTCACGTAGAGCACATCGTAAATGATGCAAATAGAACACTAGGCTTCATAAACAGAACATGCAGGGAATTTATGAGCCCAAAAACGCTTCTTTCATTGTACTACGCTTATATACACAACAAATTGATGTAATATGGAATCCGTCTTACAATGTATATATAGCCAGGATAGAAAGAATTCAACACAAATTTTTGAAGATGTTAGCACATAAAACTCACCAACCTGTTACAGATCATCATTATACGCAAATTATGAAACAGTTCAATATGATTTCCTTAAAAGATAGAAGAACGACTTCTGACATTTGCTGTGTTCATAAATTGCTGAATGGCCTCACTGACTGTCCGATTCTTTTGGCAAACTTGAACTTTAACACTCCTGATAGAACGTTTAGAACCTATCATCTGTTTAGAATACCGTTCCGTAGAACTAATCTTGGGCTTAATACCCCTTTGGTCAGCGCTCAAACAAATCATAATAATTTCTGTAATATAGATTTATTCAACATTAGCTTGACCGTCCCGAAAAATGCTTTAAAGTATTACAGCCCTATGGCAGACTAAAATAGAAATGTTTTATTTTGTTTACATAACTCAAGTTATCACCTCCAATATCATTTCTGGTATAATTTCAATTTAATTTTGATTTCAATTTTAATTAAACGTAAGTAAATGTTAAATTATGTATACTCATTTTATTGAAAAGGTTAAATTAATAGTTTATTGCTTATAATTAGAACTACTCACTCAGTTTATGTTGTTACAACGATATCGGAAGATAAAAAAAATATTCATATTAAAGTATTCAAAAATGTAATATATATATATGTATACGATATTTTATGTAAGTTTAGTTTTAGTTCACTGAGGGTGTGTATTGGGTTTACCTGTTAACACCCGAAACTGTATGTAAATAAATAAATAAAAGGTGCGTCTGGTAGAGCAGAATAGACAACTCCACATAATCCGACAGTATAGTTTACTAAGGTATCGAGTTTTAATTTATGATAACTAGTTAGAGTTTAAATAAATTTCTTCCGCACAAAAAGTTGTTAAATATTTTGTGCAAAAACTTTTAGGATATACGTTATAAGCTCCACTTTGCCCAGGGTGTATTTACACGAATTTCTCTTCTCAATGGTTTATATACAGAATGGTCTACTTATAATGTCTCAATTTTTTTAAGTGACATACATTTTTCCATAATGTTTTGTATTGGTCAAGAATTGTAAAATTCAGCCCTTGATGTTTGCAAGTAATGATACTGATACATAAATTTTTTTGTATAAGAGTAAAAACGAAACAAAGTGAGTAATCGAGTTACGTTTATTGATTGTGTTTTATCTTCGCATTATTATTTCAAATACTATTCTGGCTTATGTATTCCCTCCAGCAATTCTTACCTTTAGTCTTCTTTCATTAGCAGTGTGTATATCTTCATCAGAACTTTTAATGTCAAACTTATCGCTATCCCATTCTTCCTTCACCTTGTCTAGTCCCTTGATGATTTGCTTGCATTCATAATCTGTCAGCATACCTATTACTTTTAATGACTCCGCATACATCTTACTACCTTGTATGTCTTCTTTATAGAGTCGTTTATCAAGATCTATGGATCTATTCAATTTCTCGAGAAGGGGATCTATGGGTGTTGAGAATCTACCACCCCATAGCTTTTTGCCTTCCTTAAATTCTAATATGTACAATTGTGTAATAGCAGCCAAATTTAACTTACCGCCATGCTTAACTCGGTCTGTAATATGTACTTCCAAAGCACTGGAAGAGATAAAATAGGTGGCTTTCTATAATGTCTCGAACAAGAATTTCAAGTATTTGATGCACTAAGATGACCGATAACCAAGCTAAATATTTATTAATAACATACTAGCGTCTCGCAGATACATAAATCTTAACAAACAGCGATAATATTTTGTTATCAGTGAAGGCTGGCTTTAGCAGTAATTTACGGCAACCATTGTTTGCTATCTAGTGTTTACTGTAATAATGGGTGATTGTTTTGCTAGTATCTTTTTGGCAACACTGTTTTTGACAGATGACGCGTGAATCGTGTCTTGTGTCATTGTCAAACTTGTTCAGTTTGGTCTATAATTTAACCATGAATCGACTTACGAACGAACAGCGCTTGCAAATTATTGAATTTTACTATAAAAATTCATGCTCGGTTAAGAGAGTGCATCGAGCACTGCTTCCAATTTATGGGCAATTTGGTCGGCCTACTGAGGGAACTATTAGGAAGCTTGTGACTAAATTTCGAACCCAGTTTACATTATTGGACAATAAACCACCAACACGCAGACGTAGAGTGAGGACTGAAGGAAATATTGCGGCTGTATCCGCCAGTGTTAGTGATGACCGTGAAATGTCGATTCGCCGCCGTTCGCAGCAATTGGGCCTCTGTTACTCCACTACGTGGAAAACTTTGCGACAGGATTTGGGTGTAAAACCTTTCAAGATACAGCTGGTGCAAGAATTGAAGCCACACGACCTCCCACAACGTTTCCAATTTGGTGAATGGGCGCTGGCAAAGTTGGAGGAAGATCCACATTTTTATCGAAAAATTGTGTTCAGCGACGAAGCTCATTTCTGGTTGAATGGGTACGTTAACAAGCAAAATTGCCGCATCTGGAGTGAAGACCAGCCAGAAGCATTGCAACAGCTACCAATGCATCCCGAAAAAATCACTGTTTGATGTGGATTATGGCGGGTGTCATCATCGGGCCGTACTTCTTCAAAGACGACAATGGCCGGAACGTAACTGTGAATGGCGAGCGCTACCGTGCGATGATAACAAACTTTTTTTTGCCCAAAATGGAAGAGCTGGACTTGGCTGACATGGGGTTTCAACAAGACGGTGCCACATGCCACACCGCGCACGAAACAATGGCCCTATTGACAGGCGAGTTCGATGAACAGTTTATCTCACGTTTGGGGCCCGTCAATTGGCCGCCTAGATCGTGTGATTTAACGCCGTTGGACTATTTCTTGTGGGGCCATGTTAAGACTAATGTCTACAGGGATAAACCAGCAATGATTGACGCACTGGAAGCCAATATTGGAGCATTTATTCGTGAGATACCGGCCGATATGTTGGAGAGAGTGTGCCAAAATTGAACCTTGCGCATGGGCCATCTAAAGTGGAGCAGCGGCCAACATTTACATGAAATAATCTTTAAACATTAAATTATATCGACCCTTCTATCGACTCAAATAAAGATTTAATCGGATTTTAAAATTTTTTGTGTTTTTTTTTTGAAAATCAAATCCTATACCTCTTCAAAAATCACCCGTTATATGTTAGATCTCACTTGCCCTAGGGCTCCTCGAAACTGTTGTATCTTCTCTTCACACAAGCCTTCTTTTCTTCAATTTTAGCCCTCTCATTCAGTTTTTCCTTAATACCGTGTTAAAGATTCTGAATTGTCTCATATTCGATACCCTCAGTAACAAAAAATAGAACGCTCAGTAAAAATGGTTTTATTTGAAGGAAATGTCTTATATTTATAGGATTTTGTTTGGTTATTTTTGTAAGCACCATCTACCATACAAATACCTGCACGACTTTCTAAAACACTAGTCTATATTCCGTGCCATAACAACTAAAACTAAGGGTGAGCCATCCGTTGGTTTCTTTTTTAAATTGGAATTGAAACTACACTTTTCAATAATGTGCAACACTTTATTCAAAAGAATACACCTTCCGATTATTAATGAAAAACAATTTCAGCTAAATGGCTGCCGCGGCTGGCCAGGTAGTAATCCATCCCCTTAACAGAATTTTGAAGCACATGTTCGGTAGTTTGTGGGTCTATCATCAATAGCTCGACAGATATATTCCTTAAGAACATCAATTGCTTGAGGACCCTTAGTGTAACAGCGGTCTCTAACAGTACCCCATAGGAAGTAATCCATGGGCGTCAAATCACAATGAACGGCTGATAACGCGATGTCCAAACTTAGTGTGTAAAAGATCGATTGTTTCACGGCTGGTGTGGCACGCTACGCCATCCTGCTGGAACCAGAGATTGTGCAAGCGCATGTCGTCTAATAGTGGCCACAAAAAACTCCCCAACATGTCCCTATAGTTTACCGTCACGCTTTTACCATCTTCATCCTGAAAAAGGTAGGGACCAATAATCCTACCACTTCAAAAGCCACACCAAACAGTTACTATTTTTGGATGCATTGGTTTCCTACAGTTCTGCTTATTAACGTAACCTTCCAGGAAATGGGCTTCGTTCGAAAAGATGATTTGGCGACCAGAATTGATGTCCGTTTCCAATTGACTTAGAGCTCACACAGATACACGATATCGAAGCGGCTGGTTATTTTGTTTCAACTCTTACACAAGCTTCACCTTGTAAGGAAATAATGCCAGGTCGTTATGCAATATAATCCGCACAGAAGTGCGACTCATGTCCACTTGTGCTCTGTGACGAGTTGACATTCTTTCATTTTCACGCACACTCTGCAGGCCAGTTTCACGAACCTTTACGCATTTTCGTATACTAGTCGCAAACGGAGCTTCATTGCGACCGAATAGTCTTCTCAATTTTCGCAAAGTTTCTGCAACACAGCACTCACTTTGAAAATAGTTTTTCAATATTTCATACCTTTGTTCAAGATTAAAATGATCCATTGCTCACCGCGGAAGTTTGACGCAATACGAGCCCCTTCCCACTTCAGCTGGCCCACTTCAAGATTTGTACCAAAATATGCCTTTATAAACTAAAAACTAAACATTACGAAACTATTTACTTCTAAAATAATTTATTTTCTCAAAAACATTTAGATACACTCTAGTCGTAAAAAATACATATTTGAAATCACTTAGACCTATAACTAATAGAACATCTGAACAAATAAACAATGTGCGAATAAATGCGCGAAGTTAACAAATCAACAATTGAAAGATTACCATTGGGTAACATCACCTTTATTTTTTATTACGGCTGAAATTCTTCGGGGCATAGTGTTAACCAAGTTTTGGCAAAAATTTGGTGTAAAACAATCCCATATTTCTTGAAGCTTTTGTCTCAGTTCGGTGATTATACGAGCAGGATGTTGTCGTAGAACCTCTTTCATCTCGTGCCACAAAGTTTCAGTAGGTGACAGATCTGGACTGCTAGAAACCCATTTCAAAAGTGGTACATTATTTTCTTCCATCCGTTTTATAGTCTTTTTTGAGGTATGGCACGCTGCACCATCTTGCTGAAACACAAAATCTTGGCCGGATATCAAACATTCTTCCATCGCTGGTAAAAGCGATTCTTCTGCCATATATTTGTTTGTATCCACATTTCCATCAATAAGATGAAGTTTTCCTACTCCTTTTGATGACATACTGCCCCACACCATAGTGGATGCTGGAAATTTCACTTTTCTCTTCAGACAGTCAACATGGAATGCTTAATTTTTTTGTGAATAACTGCGACTATCACCAACACAAACTTCGAATCGGGCCTCATCATTCCATTGTATTGCACACTATTGTTGAGGTGTCCATTGTCTATGTTCTTTAGCCCATCTAAGCCGATCTTTCTTTTGCAGTGGAGTTAATAGTGGCTTTTATTCGGATTATAAACAAGTTGTGCAACTTTTGGGTTTTTACTTCACTTTTTTATGAGTAAACTTACCTTGCAAACGCTAAATCGCAGTCTGTGGGCCTCTCTATGAGCTGTGGACCTCGAAATTTTCCTTCCACACCACAGAGAACTTAATTGTAAATAATTGGCATGCCTGTTTTTATATTATATATTACTTTTTTTCACATATCGTGGCTTAATATTAACTGAACCAGTTACGTTTTATCTTCTAACAATATTTCTCACACTGTACAGCGATAAGTCTAACAAAGTTGCAATTTCTGAGTTTGATTTCCCAGAATTAAAAAATTTAATTATCAGTAACCTAATTTTCTCACTAATATCCTTTCCTCTACCGATTTAGAAAACCTTAACTGCCCAAAACAATTGTCATGGCTTTTATTTTTCACAGCCACCTATGCGTTATAGACTTATTTTGCATTGAAATGAAAATAGGTTGATATGCTGTAATTGCAACATGTGTTATTTTTATGCTGCAGATTTGATTAGGGAGTGATAAACTTGGTGTTTTCTACTATATATTATCAAAATATTCATTGCTAATATTTTAAACCTATAACACCCTGCTACATTTTTATTATTTGTGTTTGATCAGAAAAAAAACTGTGATTTCAATAGTTGGGCCAACTGAAGTGGGAACGGGCTCGTATATCTGTCAATATGTTGAGCATGGAAGTGTTACCAACTGTCAAAATAATACCAACTTAAAAAAAGCAACTGATGGCCCACCCTTTACTATAAATATAGCCAACATGAAATACCATAAATCATCGTCTTCTAGTAGCCAAGTGCAAATACTGTGGTTTTTCTGTCTCTACCTCAAAAATGATTAAGAGTTTCTTAGAAAACCGATATCAAAGCGTAAACATTGACATGGTTCTATCTTCAAAATGCCTCATTTCCTCCCGTGTGCCTCAAGGGTCTTTAATTGGGCCACTCCTATTCATTTTGTATACTTTTGATCTCCACTCAGTTGTTAAATATTGTAATATCCAATTCTTTGCCGTCGATTCACAGATCTACAGTCATTTTCATAATCACGATATTCGAAATGCTGAATCTGAGGTAAATGAAGATATAAAATCTATTAGTATGTATGCAAAAAATCATAACCTTCAGTTGAACCCTTTAAAATCGGAAGTCATCATTTTTTCACCAAAACTATAAGTGATGCTAAAAGAAATTTTTAAGTAAAATTAAACGGTGAGGCTATAGAAGTAAGTGAGTCAGTGAAAAACTTGGGCGTAACTTTGGATGAATGTCAATTATATCTTAATAAACAATTTCTTGACTTTACAACTAAAAAATTTTTTTGTGAATCTTTGGTAATGTCCAAAATTAGTTATTGCGATTTCTTGACTAAATATCTCTAG